TATATATATATATTCAAATCAAATGACTTCAACACCATTTTCTCTCACTTCTTCTATCTCACTCTGTTGAGAAACAGCTGCATGACTATCAATGGAACTTTTCGCCGCATTCTCATCATCGCCGGAACTCTGATCTTGAATGGGCGTTGAAGGTTTCCGGTGCCGAATGGCGGCGGCGGACTCCGGCATGGCGACAGATGGCGGCTGGGGTGGGACCCACGATCGTTGGCTCGACGGCCAATCAGTTGCCCCTGGCTGTCTAGATGGCTCCTCGCCGTCGGACTCTAATTCTGTGATCTTTACAGATTTCTTTCTCCACCAAGGCTCTGATGAAACATCTTGAGGTTGTCCATTTTCTGGGGAGATCTCCCATGGCTGTTGAAATTAAGAATTTAATAAGCTGGTGGAATATCAGGGGCAAAGATAAAAAAAGGAAGGTTTGCATACATACCACTCAATTCCAATGTAATTACATATCTACCAGCTAAAATTTAACTTTTACATACTTACCTACGCATGAAAAGGAGTATTTGACTCTTTAAAAGTTAAAATAGTGGTAATTTTTTGTATGTAATATAACCAATTTGGGTGGTATAAATGAAAAATGGTAAAGCTTAGGTGTTAGATATGTAAATACATAGGAATTGGGTGGTAAGTATGTAAATGCCCCTAATAAATATTAGGGAAATTTACATTTCACGCATATCTATTCATATATCTCACATCTAAAATTTCATATTTACTCAACATTTTGATGCTTTAAAACAATGCATGAAAAGACGTATTTCACTTTTAAAAAGTGATAAAGATTTTGAGTGTTATGTGCGTAAATATAAAATGTTAGGTATGAGATATGTGAAAACATAAAATTTATGTGCTATGCATGCAAATGCCCCTGAATATTAATTTAGGAGAGTAATGAACACAGACCTTAGTCCTTGGAGCAAGAATTGGTTTTGATGGTGGCTGATTAGGGTTTGGGGGCATATCATTGACCTCCTGAGTATAAATAAATAATGTGGGATTAAATGCAACTAAATGAAGCAATAAGACAAGTAGAAGAAGGATGAAATGTTTAATAAGATCAACACACCCTTATGTTTGGGGGTTTCTCCCCTCTTTGAACCATAGCCATAATCTGCAAAGAAAAAAAATATATCAAAATATAGATTTGTAATTCAACAAAAATAGCTTTCAACAAAAAATGCATATACCTTGTGATTCTGTGAATTCGCCTTAGTAATATGCAATACTTTTAAAAGAAAAGCTCTTATCAAACAGGGCACCCAAAACATTGTTATTGACAAATCTAACATATGTTTCATCCAATTTTCAAATTCTCACTCAAATATGAAAATTCACCATAAAATCCCAAACGCAAAAATTTTCATTTTTATCAAATTGACAATGGTTTGATAGTGACGCACGAAAATAAATTAGCTCGGTAGTTTGAAAATATCACATGGGCGCTAGATTTTGTAAATAGCAATGTTTCAGATGCTATGTATGTAATTATCTTGAGAAAGAGCTTAGATTTAAAGTTCAGTATTAGAAACTATTAACAAAAATGGAAAAACATATAATCCTATAGTGAGCTGAAGGCTGGCGATTTTTGAACGAAAAATTAGGAAATCAATTACTCTAGACATACCGAGCCATTTTCGACCCTTTCCTTAATATTAGCATCCAGCTATAGCAACTATGCAAGCTCTAAGGAACTCAGTCAAGTCAGCTCTTGACCCAACTCAAGGTTATATTGTAGAGATAAATTAAAAAATCGTTTTGCATCTTGAATGTTGATCTATGAAAATTAAAACATATAAGTTTATCCATAAGAACAAATATTAATCTTATTTATGAAAAATAATTACTATAAATACAAAATGGTTGCAAAATGATTTAACCATTGAACTAACCTACAAGTTATTTGTATTTGTGAGCATAGAAACTACATTGAGCCTCGCAAAAATTGTAAACACATATCAATGCTATCGTCCCCCATTCCGCTTTTAACTTTTCCAAATATTAATAACTTGAATTAACATTTTTCACTTCTTCTCTTGAATAAATTTTGTCCTCAGTAAAGTAAAGCCTACGGAAAGCTCCCCCTTGCTACTTGGTAAATAAAGGAATTGATGAAGGGTATTCCCAACAAAGTTATGTAAGAAATAATTAGAGATAAAGATTAAGTTAATATAATAACAATATTGCATATTTGAAAAGGCCAATTGTCCACCACTTTCTCTAGCTTCATATTTATGATACAAGAAGACAACAACAACAGCACCGAGCTTTTATCCCAATAAGTGGCACAGCTACATGAATCCTTTTTCTCCATTGTGTCCTATTGAGAGTCATATTTTTATTTAATTCTAATAGAATAAGATCATGTTTTATACAATATGCCCAAGTCTTTTTAGGTCTACCTCTGTCTTAATATAAGTTGAATCTAAAACATCTACTCTCCTAACTGGGTCATCAGATAGTTGATGTTTAAGGCGACCAAACAATCTAAGATGACTCTCTCTAATCTTGTCCGCTAATGGAGCTATACCAACCCTATCACACAACCCTATCACAGATAATATATTCATTTCACATTTTGTCTCTAAGTGCGAAGCCACTCATCCAAGCATTCTCATCTCAACAACACTTCACTTTGTTTTATGTTTTTCTTTTAAAGGCCAACATTCTATTCCATGGAGCATTCCACCAACTTAAAAAATTTTCCTTTCCGTCTAAGTGGTACTTTTCTATCAGACAATAGACACAATGCATTCCTACACTTCAACCAACTTAAATTCTACTAATAAAATCCCCATTAATATCACAATTACTTTGAACAATAGACCCAAGATATCTAGAACGTTCAAACCCTTCTAATGATTTGATCTCCCATAGTTACAACTCTGTCATTGGAGCTACTACTACTAAAATTACATTTTATATATTCAGTTTTAGATCTACTCAAATGAAGGCAATTAGACTCCAATGTATTTATGATATAGGAAAGCAACTTTAATTTTAAAAAAAAAAGTGAAAAGGAAAAAGGTTTCCATATAAATCAGTAATATTAAACATCAAGTAAGTGAGGCTCTCACCTCCATATATGACTTTGGGTGGGAGGCAGTTGTGAGCTCCACGGAAGGAGGGGTTAGTGATTGCCCTGCTTTCAAAAAGTTATAAGTTTCAAAAAGTTATAATAAGATCAATAACAACAGCAACAACAACAATAACAAGCATTTATCCCACTAAGTGGGATCGGTTATATGAATCTTTTTTCTCTATTGCGCCCTACTGAGTGTCATATTTTCATTTTAAGAAGATCAATTGGCGAAAAAAAAAATTGATGTTTGATAAGGGTAGAAAAAAAGAAGAAAATATAATCCCTTCAGTTACTCGGCTGGAGAAGGATTTTGACTTCCATATATTGCACTAATTTTTTTTCCAACCACCTTTTCTTTTTTCTTTTCCTTTTTTTTTTTTTGGTCTTTGGTATCACTTATTTTTACCCTTTATTTTATACATGAGAATTTTTTCTTTGATGTTTTAGTTAAGCTACAGATTTTAAATATATTTATAGGGTAGCTCTATCTTTTGGTTTCATTATAATGTAAACCCTCTTCCGTTTCAATAAATGGAACTAGAACTCTTAATTTTCAAAAATAAAAAACAAAAATATACTGTTACAGACCTGCTCCATAATTGGTACTTAACGTGCCATTCACTTTAACTTGCTGCAAAATGATTTTAGAGAGTAGATAAGACGGCAATCTCCGAGATGAGATGATGAAAGCAAAAAAATACACAAATTGCATGCAGAAATAAGATATTAAGCCTACATTTAGTACCGAATCGGTTTGGTTGACCTGAGAACTTTTCCATGAGTTGTTGCTCGTACCTAAATATTGTACAAAATATATTCATCAGAAAAGTTAAAATTATCTTCAGTAAAATAAGGCAGTCTTAGATATAAAAGCCATTAGGAAGCGCGCACTTCAGCCCCACTAGTAAGGAAAAGATATAAAAAAACTTCAAATAATGTAAAAATGCGCGTCAATCTTTTTTATATCTGATTAATTGAACGCCACAAAAATGCTGCTCTGTGGGGATAAGAGTACTGCAGATTTAACCAAACAAGTGTCTTCTATTGTAATAAGGACAGTGAATATGCATCAAATTATATGATTGTTGGGTGTTCTTTGACATTCGATTCATTGTTCACTTTTGATGTAATTAAGTGCCAATTTTTTTCCCTTTGCTTTGCATTGAAATATAGAAAGCTATGTGAAACAACACCAACTGAAAGCCATGTTTAGCACTCTCTTATGACCACTTAGGGTGGGTGTTGGAAGTTTTGGGCAGAGCCCAATAAAATTGACATCATCGTAATGCAGACTTTAGATCTTTTGACATAATAATTAATTGATGAGTTTTATTGCTAATTAAGACATTAGTAGTATATCTTTCCACAAACAATATATTTATAGAATTGAAACTACCCTATAAAACCCTCATTGTAATGGGTACAAATTGCCATAAAAAAATTTTAGAACTTAGGAATAATATCCCCATGATAATGGGAAAATCGTGGATTTGATAATTTGACTAAATTCAACTCAAATTATTCTAATAATTAAAAAGTTTAAATAAAGCTCTTTCAACAAAAATATTTACAAAAAATTCTTACCAAGCATAAAAAATCAGGAAAATGTATCGAAAACCTCCTCTCTTGCCATGTAAAAAATTTGAAGTCAAAAGTTCAATTTTTTTTTTAATTAGCAAACAAAATGTTCAAAATTCCTATAAAATGTAATATTTCACCAAGAATTCATTTTGAGGTTAGAATTAATGAAATTTATAAAGACACTTTCTCAAGGATTGTTTTTCCTCCCTACTCGAGGCAATTCATGGATATGATAGCATGCCTCACCAAGTGTTTGATAAACTCAACTACAAGGGATCGACCCCTGCATACCACTATCAAGCGAAGTGTGTGATATTGACCAAAGTGCCATAGCACTCAACTCATTTACCCATTATGCTTCATGATACTCTCCTTCCAGATGAGTTTAAATTTGCTCCTGAACTATTAGACAAGCCACACTCTGTGCATATGAACCAATCTTGGCAGGAATCAATCAAGCCTACTACATGTGTGGGCTTTTTTCGTTTAGGGTGAACTACAAACCCTACCTTAAGAGGTTTCCTTCGACATATCACCCTCATCATACATATATTAGAGTATTTTTTGTTTAGGCGAGCCCAAACTCACCCGAAGTGGCATTGATCACGATCCATGCCCGTGAGCAAGCCTTAGCAAGAATTTTCAAGCTCAATGCAGTATATCTTCAGTGGCAACATCCCTATAACTCTGAATCCTGGTTCCCCATACTGGTACCCTCAGTCTTTTCTTTCAAAGATGAATTCCAAACATCATATTGACAGAAAATATCCACTGGAATACCACCACCCCAATCTGTTTCATATATTTTATATTAGATAAAAATAAGACTACTGATCATACTCCCTAGATGATGTGAAGTTGGCCCTCTATCATGGGAAGTTGGCCTTTTAAAGACATCACTAACTCTCGAAATAACTTTTAACGAAAAAATGAAATGGTTGCATTAACTAAGACTTCAGATAATATATGCAACTTTCATAGCTTCCAACTTTTTCAATTCATTTAAAATGGTGTAAAAGCCAATCACAAATTTTGCATAAAATCTAGGACTCAATCCTGATGAATCTCAATCTACTTCTAAATTTCTATATTGATCATATGTTATAATAGTAAATAAATGACGATGAATCTGGCAAAAACTGAATCAGGAATAGAAACTCAAAACATATTTAAAAAGGCAAATTGTCAATTACTGCAACAGCACCACGAGCTTTGCCTTTTCTATTAGTCATCAACAGCAGCAATTTCTGCAATTGCAATTGCATTATAATGATGTAGATTGATAACATAAAATAGATAAATAAAAAACTCAGATAATTATGCAAAATTTTCCTCATATCATGTATTTGAAGACCTCAGCCTCGACATATTTTTTTACTAAATTTGTAAAGTTCCACACAGAAAGTCCTTTACAAAAGTTTCATCATATCATGTATTTGGAGACCTCAGCTTTGACCATTTTTTACTAAATTTGTGAAGTTACACACAAAATGTCCTTTGCAAAAGTTACATTCGTAGCTTCCAAGTAAAAGAAAAGGAGAGAGAGAATACAGCCAAATCATATGATCTCAAAATTTTACAGTTGGCACATTATATAATGCTGGATGATTATTTTTTACCAAGTAATCAATTGTGAACTTTTATTCCTACAGACAACTTTATTAGATAATCAGTATTCCTATCGAAAGCATAATCTTCATAAAGAAAAGCTCTAGATCATCATGCGAAAATGTTGCAGTAATTATCATAAAAAGTAACTTACCATTTGTCGTGGCATACTGGGCATACTCATTTATCAGCTTCTGTTGCTCCCTTTCCTTTTCCAATTTCTGAATAGCGCCGCTCATGTATTTCATTTCCTTAACTTGCACATCTATCATTCCCATGAGAGCCTCAAAATATTTCCTATCTAATAAAGAAAAAAAATATCGCCATGTTAATTCACGTAATACAATAAACAATCAAGTACATTAAAGGTAATTTACAAAAAAAAGTAATATAGATACACAAAATACATGCATGCATGCATACATATATACATATACAAACATATATAACTCTTCAGTTATAATGTGGCGTCACCTTCATTTTTTGAATTCAATAATTCTTGACTTGCTGTAGCAACAGTGGCTGCAGCTGAGGCAGCTGCTTTAACAGCTTCAGCTGTTTCTGCAGCCAGGCTTTTACTTGCCTTATCTTCCTTGACAGAGCCAGTATCCTCCACTGCTACCCTTCTTATCCAAGCTTTTAAACGAGGAAGAACCACTTTCTAGGTCCATGGAAAAGTTTTACATAGTCAAAATAGCAATCAAAAGTGAGACTAAAATACAATCCCGAAGTTCCGCCATAACTGAAAGCTATGAATGCAAAAGCATGTAAAATAAGGTCCAAGTAAAAAATCATGGAGGATTTAATACATACCACTCAACTTTTAGGTATTTACACATCTTACACCTAAACTTCAATTTTAATGTACATGCCACCTTCCTTGTGTATTAAAAGGTGTATTTCATTTTTTAAAAGACAAAAACGGTGGTATTTTTTATGTGATATGAAAATTTTGGGTGGTATAAATGTAAAATTAAATTTTAGGTGTTGGATATGTAAATACAAAAGAATTAGGAGGTATGCATGTAAATGCCCCAAAAATCATTCATCATTGCAAAACAATTGTAATAGGTAAATAACATATCGGAGGGATGGATGATAACTACTTTAAAAAGTACAGCAGATCCAGCTCCAGAAGCAGATAGCACTCCAATGGCAATTAAAGCATGGGACCAATTGAATCGAGGTTTCTGATAAGTTGGGACCAAAGAAGCAGCCCCAACATTAGCAGCCGCTGGAGGGTGAGGTTGGACAGAAGTTTGGGGCTGCAAACTCGCTGATGTTCTCATCTGAGTAGCTGCCACATGTAATGCAACACAAAACATATAAAATATCAAATAAAATATGACTTTAGAGAATTTTACATACCAACCACACAATTCTTACGGATTAACATATTTAACACCTTAAGTTTAATATTCACATTAATAACGCTTTAATACTATAAACCTATGAATAAAAAATGCATTTGACTTCTAAAAAGTTAATAAAATGGTATTTTTTATGTGATGTGAAAGGTTTGAGTGTTATGAATGTAAATTTTAATGTTTTGGTGATTCCAATTAAAAAGATGAGAATTGTGCGGCATGCATGTAAACACCCCATGATTTTATTACATTGTAATGACATGATAGAAACAAGAGACTTGGGACACGAGGTAAATGTAGCTTGCTTAAAACTTATGATACTGGGGTTAAAAAAGGTTAAGAGAATGTAAGATGCCTAGAAATACAGGTATTTAGGGCGAGAGGGAAAGAACTCTCTTTACTTTGGCCCTAAAACTCAACATGAGTATTTATAGATGAGTGATACCTAATAACCTATTAAAAAACAGCTAGTAAGCCTAACACTCACAATGGCACACTAAACCTAACGGCCAATTATATTTATTTGTATCATTGTCCACCCATTTACAATGACTTGGCTCCCAAGGTTGTACACGTATGAAAAAAAAAAAAAAGGTGAAATCAATTGAAATTTGAGTCAGCAAGAATCTGTGCAAGCAAATATGCTTGAAGGTGCCGCAATCTACGTGGAGGCGCTTGCATTTAAGTGGATTGAAGAAGAAGCAATTAGCATGATACGGAGGTGGCAATCATCCATCGCTACGAGTATAGATGTGGCAAGTTGTGAGTTCGAGGGTGGATTTTGTGACAGTGTGCGTCAACAATAATAAGAAGATGTGGGATCTAAAATAAGTGAGCGGCAAAAGCATGGATCTACTAAGGATGGAATAGATCCATGAATGAGGCAAAGATTATGACAAGGATTGGTGAATCTGTAAAGGGGGAGGGCTTGGCTCAGGCTTGTTGGAGGCAGATCTCGGACAGAACAGCAGGAGGTAGGATATGGCTTGAGAGATCATTGACCATAAAATATGGTGTACGGGAGGTGAATGTGCAATAGGAGAGGCAATGTGGCCTGGATGAGGGGACAAGGTCACGGCAGATCTCACAAGTTGAAGACTACCCGTGAGGTAGCTGATACCAGAGAAAAGCCCAAATCGAATTAGAAAACGATAATTTTATTGCTAAAATTCAAAAGGGACTACAAACACCGACTCTTGATAATAGGAGAATAACAAAAACACATACACAGAAGACACCCCAGGTTGGTGTTGAGAGCGGTGGACGGCTGTGGGAAGCAGTTTAAAGGATTGGTTGGAGGAGATGAGCGCAACAGGAGGCTCGAATGAGGGTACTGCAGCCGGCGGGGTGCTGTGAGGGTGATGGCAGCAGCTGGAAAAGGACATAGGGGCGGCGGTAGAGGAAAACAGCGAGTGGACAGCCGGTTTTGAGGAGCAGGGGGGTGGGCAACAGCAAGTGTAATTGGTGAACGGCGGCTGGGCAGCGGATCGGACGCCAGGAAATGCTTGTCAGTTGCTGGAAGCAGGGTTGGAGGGGGCTGCGGAAGGATAAATGTCTTGTCGGGGTCGAGTTACAGCCGGAGCACACCCGAACCCTTGAATACGGTCACCACCTCGGACGAGTTACAGCCAAAGCACCTTCTTGTCATCAGGTACAGCTCTCAGAGGGGAAGAACGCCTCCAAGGCAGAACTAAGAATTCTTCACTCATACAAAAACTGTCTAGTTTTCATAAAACAACACTTATAAATAGGAGAGATTAAGAGATAGACTACGCAAGAATTAAAGAGAGGGTGAGATGAAAAAGGAAAAAATTTGAAATAGGTTAGAGGTGGAAGGTAGTCGATAAGGTAGACAATGAATAGAGGGGAAACTCTTTATGGAAGAGAGTGAAAAGGAGAGAGTGGGAAGCTAATAAGGGAAGAAGGATCCACAATTACTATAGCAACTAGAGTAACTGAGTCTGCATTATTGTAGTTGTAGAACAGAAAGTACCACGGGATGAACATTTCCCAGGTTCGAGGAAGCTTCGGCCTCATTTGTCGCTTTAGGGTAGAAAAATTTTGGTGGGGTGGTTTGGGTAGGAGCAGATCTATGGATCCTTAGGATAGGACTAGGGTTTGGCAGCTCTGATACCAAATGATATCGGAGAAAAGCCAAGACCAAAATAAAAAATGATAATGTTATTGTTGAAATTCAAAAGAACTACAAACACCGACTCTTGATAATACAATAATAACAACAATACAAACACAAAAGACACCCTGGGTTGGCAGTGAGAGTGGTGGACGGCGGCTGGGAAGCAAATCGAGGGACTGGTTGGAGGAGACGGACACAACAAGAGGCTGGAATGAGGGTACTGCAGCCGACGGGGTGCTGTGAGGGTGATGGAAACAGCTAGGCACGGACTTAGGGGCGGCGGCAGGAGAAAACAAGGAGTGGATAGCAGGTTTTGGTGGGCAGCAACAAGTGGAAGTGGTGGATGGCGGATAAGCAGCAATCAGAGGCCTGAAAATGCTTGTTTGTTGCTGGAAGCGAGGTCAGAGGTAGTTGCGGAAGGATAAATGTTTTGTTGTGGTCTAGCTACAGCCAGAACACCACCTAAACCCTTGGAGACGGTCATCACCTCAGACTAGTTACAACCGGAGCACCTTCTTGTCGTCGGGGGGAAGAACATTTCAAAGGCAAAACTCAGAATTCTCCACTCGTCAAAAAACTGTCTAGTTTTCAAAAAACAACACCTATAAATAGGAGAGATTAGGAGATGGACTAGGCAGGACTAGGCAAGAATTAAAGATTAAAGAGGGGTGGGATGAAAAATGAAGGAATTTGAAATAGAATAAAAATGGAAGATGGTATATAAGGAAGGGAATGAATAGGAAGGAGACTCTTTATGGAAGAGAGTAAAATGGATAGGGGGGAAGCTAAAAATGAAAAAAGGATCCATGGTTACTATAGCCGCTACAATGCCGCAGGATGAAAAGCTCCCGCGTTAGTGGCGGCTGGAGACCTCAACGGCGAATAAGAATTTGGGTGATAAATGACGGTGATGACGAAATAGCACCAAAAAAATGCAAGGCTCAGTGAGAGCGCCATTATTATGAACCCAAGAACAAACTAGAGAAAAGGCTAAAAAAATAAATATATTGAAAATCATAGATTGCCTAAAGCCTGAAGATAAAGGAAAAGGACTAGGCAATATAGGATGCCTACAACTACTGGTATTTGGTGAGGAGATAGAGAGAACCAGAGCTCAAGGGCTTTCTACATCTTTACTTGTTGCCATAATAATCAACATAAATATCTATAGACTAAAGTGGCACCTGCTAACCTATTAAAAACAACTGATAAGCATGACCCACAATAACACTCTTAAAGTAGCCTTATTGTCGGGTTTATTGCCCAATTCATATAAATTCTATCACAAAAATAACAAAATTTTCATTGAACCTGACCTCTTCAAACCCAGCTGGTTAGTTCATTGGGAACTTTTAAGAACAATTAACAGTAAATCAGAAAAAAAAAATGTAATACCTTGACTTGTTGCAACAGTTTCAGTAATTGTCGCATTAGGAGATGGATCCTGCAACTCATAAAAAATTGTAAAGCAAAATAGTAATTAATATTTAACAAATCATGGAATAACATGAAAATAATATAATCATTAGCGACAAAAGGCATACAGGTACACGGCGAAATGCTTCATCTATTTCCTCCTTTGTCAGGCCTTTCCTCTCTAGAAAAGAGCGCCTATAAATGACTGGTGAACCTTTCACTTTTGGATGTGATAGAAACTTGACAGCATTTTGTACTTGATCTTCTCGTAACGGTTCCGATGTTATAAATGGTAGTTTCTGTTCTGATCCATCAACAGGCTCACTTTGTGCAATTCCACTCGTTGGTTGTGATAATTCAGGTCCTAAGCAAAATAGAGTTCATAAAAAAGTCAGTCTCTGAAATAAAGATATTTTCCATAAATAAATGTAAAATAAACAACATGAAATAAAAAGTCAGCATTTTGTTAGAAAATGGATTTTCTCAGTCCTAAACACCAACAAAAAATACTAACTGTAATCAAAACTAATTAATAGGAGCACCGCTTGAAAAAAAAAATGATTAGGTGCTCGCTTAAAAATGAATTTTGCAAATAACCATATTAATAAGCAAAAGAACTTTTCTCCAATGTCAAAGAAATTGTACATCGCATGGCTCTTTAAATTCACACAGCCCCGAATTCAAAAAACTAAGAAAAACTTGATAAACCCTTTTTTAAGTCCACAGTTCCTTTTATCAAAAGTAGAATCTTTTTCATCACCCACTTTCTACGAGAGAGAGAGAGAGAGAGAGAGAGGAACTGCTAGAAACTTAGATTAGAGCTTTGGCTAGCCAACTATTCAGCCCAAACGCCAACATTTTTAGAACATGGTTTAACTCCTTGGTTTTGACAACAAAACTTTTACTGCATTTGCCCTCTTCAGTTTACCTAATAAAAGAAGCTGACGATATGAATTTCACTCTTCCAAGAAAATACCCTTAGGCTATAAGGGTCAATCTCTTGAACGTTAAGTTGATCTTCCACAGAAATCTGTGAAAGTCTTCCATAGAAATCCAACCCATACCTAAGCCCTTCTCACTGTAGCACCTGATATAATTGGTGTCATCATTATTTCGGAGAGGTAGAACAATGGAAAAAAATATGTAGTCAAAAGGCAGTGATCAGTGATAACCAATTACTAATCAATTTTCTTATGGTGGTTTAGATAACAACTTTCCACATAAATTACTTCCAGACATAATGAATAAATTAGTGATCAGGTTTGTTTTACCATTATATAACTACAAAAAGTAAAATTTGTAACTTATTGCCGTACACAGAATATAAATTAGCATTTAAGATACTAATCATTTAATTTTCTTACTTGATCATTCTTTTTTAATAGTTACAGGACTGTGGAAGAAAAAATGATGCAACTATCTCTACTATATTTAAAAATATTTTTTAGTTATGCAGCAATTGATGTCAAACAATAGCAATCTCCCATAACTACATAAATTTTCATATTCCATGTTAAGACTTCTGCAGTTTATTTTGAAAATTTCATTTTGTTGACTTCTATGTTCTTCCAAATAAGTGGTACCTAAGCTAATTGATAATTAATAGGGAAAACTGTGAACGCTCAAAAAAAAAAAAAAAAAGCCTTCAATTAGCTCTCAATTGAACAAGTGATGCAAAGAGTTCAAGTCTAAGGTTTTTCATGCAACCACCAATTAAAGTTAGCATATGCTTTTTTATGTAAGAAAAAAACAAAAGGGTATCCATCCAAGTAGCAATTTAATAGTCACCTACATTTAAGAAAGTCAACGAAAAAATTGAAAACATAAAAACTACAGGTTAAATTAGGGCTGTAAACGAGCCGAGCTTGAGCGAGCTCAGG